GGGGCCCCAGGTCGATAGGCAAGTGGCGTGCCGCGCTCGTCATTTGCGATTCAGCAGAGCTGCTACGCTACCCACGCTTCAGCCACTCGTTGCCCACCCCACGCCAGCATTTTTCAATCTTTCTCACTGGATTAATAGTAATAACCATAAGTAAAAGTAAACCGGCACTGTCGTCGCACGCCGGATGTTCTGGTTCCTGGACATTTGACAAGAAATCGGCGACAAGACGCAGGCTCTTTTGCTAGGAAATCAGAGATGAGGATTGCCGAGCAATCGGAAAATCCACACAGACGAAGTATTCATATGTAGAGAAGAAAATGTTGGTGCAAGTTGCAGGAGAATCCAGTGAAACAAATAGGGTGCCATTAATTGAAACTGGTACGTTGGACCAGTGGATGGGCTCTGAATTAACACTTGATCAAAAACTGAGGTGGTAAAGATTAGGGTCAACATTTGAATTTGGTCTGCACCGGGCCCAGGCCAAGAGTTCTATTACTAGCTCTAACAGTTTAAAAGCACTCTCACTACATTCGCACAGAAGAGGGGTAATTAATTCCCCGGACATTCCTAAGGAAGATACGACTCGTATCAAAGACTAGCCTTATATTATCCCACCTGTTTTTCGATGTATGTCCAGGTTGTGCAGTAAGTCTGAAAAAGGCCAAGTGTCACTGCTTCACTCAGTAATAGTGTTTAGTCGTGACATATCAATAGAGCTTGGCGATGGTAAGTGCACCACTCGGTATCCAGCGAGACAATCAACAAGATCTCTAAAATATCGAGCTCCCAGACACGACAGCAAACATAGGTATGCTCATGGAGGAGATGTACAAGTACCCGAGATTTCAGCACGTTGGGATATCTGCCACCAACAAGTGACGACCTCCGCTTCGCCGGAATACTAACTACTGGTCGGTAGACTTCTCAGAATTACGCTCAGTGGCAGAACTCTCATGCATATTATCAACACATGGAAGGTACCGGTAAGGTAATATTCTAATGAATTAACAGAATGGACGCAAGTAGCTCTGGATAAGCTGAAATAGCCGACTCGCTATTCTAAGAAACAAATAACAGCCTATCGCGATTTACACACGTGCAGTGATTTACTGATGTCAGCAGACTTATCCCCCAAAGACTTGAAGGCCGTGGAACTCAAATAAAGAAATTAAAATGGAGAAGCAAAAATGGCAGAATACATCCAAACAAAGTTTTTTGTGGCTGGCTGAAGTACGGAATCTGGGTCATCAACAGCGGGGAAAAAACACTGAATAAGTTGGCATGGAAAGCTGCTCCACGGACAATAAGCATTTGATGTTGAGGGGAAGAACGAAATTCAGAGATCACCAATAGGAGGGGAAATCTATACTAATACTGGGTGCAATGACATGTAACCGTCATCCATACCACAAAAATAGTGTATGAATTGATATGAACATTATACAAGCTCTTTAGGATTGTCGCAGTGTCCTTGTAAAGTTTGGTAAAGATTACTACAAAAACTGCGAAAAATAAATAATTAAACTATGTTGGTAGATGCATCACGATCATTATTTTTCGCCTGTCACAAAGAGCATATTGGTCCCTTATACATTATGCCAAAGTCCAGTAGCGGTACAGCAGAACTGAATTTATTCGGGTAAGGAAGTGTTATCTAATAGCAATGTACTTTAAAATAAAATAAAAGAAAATTATAGTATTTTATTAAAATTTGAACCAAGTACATTAAAAATCTTCATCAACATTAACATAAAATTGATCTTTTTCCTCTTTCACAAGGTTTGGATTCACAAGAAAGCACGGGACACTCTGGGTATTTTGCTAGTTTTATATATTTAAGCACTAATGCTATATGCATTTAGCAATATACACCGATTTTCCGCAGGTTTGTGTTAAAATTTTTCAGTTTTTGAGGTGTAGCAAAGCCATGTTGAACATTTTCTGTATGCAGTTCTTTTCGTTGGGTTAGATAACCACAATTTTGTTTAAGAACTAGTTCAACATTTATATTGTTCCCCCGATCTTACATCAGTTTTGTATACCGACGGACATTTAAGGAAAGTGTTTATGACCGTCAAGAACTGGCTGTATGAGAACGCGATGACTCATGGCAACTGTTTCGATTTTTTTCTAAACATCCGATAAGCGTTGAAAAACGAAACTATCTCCTAGCGTTAAGAAACGTAATGATAACACGTCCTGAGCGATGAAAAGGAAACTCCTTACGTAAATACCTAAGAAAAAGACCTACGCTGAGTCCATCGTTCATCCTTAACCCATTGGCAAGCAGGGGCGTCAGTGAACAAAGCACAGTGAAATAATTATATGCGTCGTCATTGCCAACAATATTGTTTATTAAAATAGCAGCTAGTAGTTTTTGTGGCTTCCATACAGCAGAAAACTGATTATGGCTAAGTCATCGAAAGCTGCTATTTTAATAAATAATATTGTTGGCAATGACGCATATAATTATTTCGTTGGAAATGCCAACGAAAACTCACCACAATACCTATATGAACAAAGCACAGCCTTTTCCCGCAACAATATTGTGATCTGGATCATACACAAACTTACCCAAAAAGTCTTTGAAGGTTCCCGCTGAAATTAGCAGGTTTTATGGACCGGATTACGTATTATAGCTGAAAAATTAAGTAGTGAGAAAAGATCGCACGAGTTTCTCGTTTACTTCCGAAGAGTAAAGAGGTATTGTTTGCTTTTACTTTCCCGTATACAGACATATGCACGTAGTAAAGGAAAAGTTGTGTTATGCAGCAGAAAATCGATTTCGAGATTTCATCGGAAATACACGTTTTTGTGTTTCCTGTTACCGAAAACGTGATGTCCGCGCGGCCAATGTATGTGAGCAACAGTAGCGCCTAAACCATGCGAAGAATTTTTTCTGAATTGGAGAAACCTCTGTCCACTTACCAAGTCGAAGCTGCGATTTTGAAAATATTTCATTAGTTTTTGGGGGTACGTTACATGAAGC